AGTGATCTCTCTCCTTCTATCCATCTCCACTCTCTGACAAACAGAGGCTAGGGACACCATTCCTTACCCATCCAGGCTAATAGCCATTAATGGACTTAACCTCTATGAATTTATCTAGTTCTCTTTTAAACCCTGTTATAGTTCTAGCCTTCACAACCTCCTCAGACAAGGAGTTCCACAGGTTGACTGTGCACTGTGTGAAGAACTTCCTTTTATTTGTTTTAAACCTGCTGCCCATTAATTTCATTTGGTGGCCCCTAGTTCTTATATTATGGGAACAAGTAAATAACTTTTCCTTATTCACTTTCTCCACACCACTCATGATTTTATATATCTCTATCATATCCCCCCTAAGTCTCCTCTTTTCCAAGCTGAAAAGTCCTAGTCTCTTTAATCTCTCCTCATATGGGACCCGTTCCAAACCCCTAATCATTATAGTCGCCCTTCTCTGAACCTTTTCTAATGCCAGTATATCTTTTTTGAGATGAGGAGACCATATCTGTACGCAGTATTCAAGATGTGGGCGTACCATGGATTTATATAAGGACAATAAGATATTCTCTGTCTTATTCTCTATCCCTTTTTTAATGATTCCCAACATCCTGTTTGCTTTTCTGACTGCCGCTGCACACTGTGTGGACGTCTTCAGAGAACTATCCACGATGACTCCAAGATCTCTTTCCTGATTAGTTGTAGCTAAATTAGTCCCCATCATATTGTATGTATAGTTGGGATTATTTTTTCCAATGTGCATTACTTTACATTTATCCACATTAAATTTCATTTGCCATTTTGTTGCCCAATCACTTAGTTTTGTGAGATCTTTTTGAAGTTCTTCACAGTCTGCTTTGGTCTTAACTATCTTGAGTAGTTTAGTATCGTCTGCAAAGTTTGCCACCTCACTGTTTACCCCTTTCTCCAGATCATTTATGAATAAGTTGAATAGGAGACAGGCAGTCACGTGGTTTGCAGGGCAGCAGGGATCACTGAGACAGTGGTGCAGAGGGAGCAGGTTGCCTGCGGGCGGCTCCAGTTCCTGACTTTGGCAGACTCTTCTCCTAAGTGTCTCCACAGGACTGCAGAAAGCCAAGTTATCCAAAGCCAGGATACTCTGAAGAATGCTAGATGACTGATGAATAGGCTGCAAAACTGAAAATAAAAGTAATTATCCCAAAAGTACAACAGAGACTGAAAGACTGTCATTTGGAAAAATAAATGGAACAAGAACAGGACCCTGCTATTCTAGAAGATGCAAACATTAAAGCTATTAAAGAAGAGATCAAGAAAGCCTTTATGTTTGTCAGTAAAGGACTGAATACTGATGAATTGGGTCAAAAGGAAGAAGCAAGGAACTACTACAAGCAAGGACTTGACCACTTGCTTAGAGGAGTTAGCATTCCATCACAAGGTCCTGAATGTACAGGATCCCAATGGGACTCTGCCAGACAAATGCAGCGAAAGATGCAAGAGACTTTACAAAATGTTAGAACTCGACTGAATATTCTAGAACAAAATACTCCTGCTATGCAAACTAATGCCATCACAATGAATGTGCCTCTAGAGGTGCCCAAGTTATTCCCACTAATGAAAAGCCAGCAAGTCTCCCTGCACCTAATTCTCTGATTCCACCATCTGGGCCTCCTGCAGCAAATGAAAACATTGCAACTACAAGCAAAGGGCAACCTCCAGCTATGAGTCCTTCATCTCCAAAAGCTCTCTCTCTACCACATGAAGCTCCTCAAGCTACTGATGGGCACTATACTGTATCTTATGGTACAGACTCTGGGGAGTTTTCATCATTTGGAGAGGACTACTACACAAAACGTTCTCAGCCACTCCCCTTGAAAGTCTAGGAGTAGATGCAGATGAATTGATCCTGATTCCCCAAGGAGTACAGATATTCTATAATTGCCATCATCTCAGCAAGGTGAATGGGGGAGCTGGGAGCATCCATGGCAGACCCACCATACACTACCTTTTACAAAGAGAAGTGTTTTTCTGGTTCCTCACCTGTACTTCCTCCCAAAGGTCTCCTCAGAACATAACATTAACCAGGAGATTCACCTACCAGTTTTCTACCTAAAGCCTCATGCCTCCAGAGAAGAATCAAGCCTTCATGCACTGGATGTTAGGAGGGCCCTGCTTTCTATCTGAACAGGATTAAACCATTTGGGGCTTCTCCTAGAGTATTTGTATCAGTTGCAGACAGGATGAAAGACCAACTGATTTCCACACACAGACTGTCTATATGGGTTTCGGGTTGCCTCATGACCAGCTATGATAATTCTGTGGCACAACTCCTTCACAGAGTAACAGTGTGTTCTGCTGGAGCTCAGTCCACATCTATGGCTCCACTGAAAGATGCTTCCGTAGCAGAATTCTGCAGGCCTGCTACTTCATCCTCTGTCCATGCCTTTGCCAAACATGACACCAACTTACCTGCTTCCAGAGATGATGCCACCTTTAGTGATGCCGTCCTTCAAACTGTCTTGGACTTATCTCTCAGCACCCAATGAGTGGCTTCTTGGGAGTCTCCATGGTGGAGCATCCATAGGGACAGATACTCGAAGAAGAAGGAGGTTACTTACCTTATAGTAACTCAAGTTTTTCGAGGTGTTTTATCCCGATAGGTGCTCCACCTCCTGCCCGCCCTCCTTCCCTTCTGCTGTGGAGCTAGGCATCACTGTTGAGAAGGAACTGAGTGGTAGCAGGCTCGTGCCTCCCTATCTGCCCTCACTCAGAGCATGAGGCTTAGTTCTGCGCAGGTGCAAGCCTGTGGACACTACTTTCCAGATACCAGTTGAGAGTGCGCACATCCTATGGTGGAGCACCCATAGGGACAAAATACCTTGAAGAACTCAAGTAACTGGAAGGTCTGTAACCTCTCTTTCTGTCTGTAGATCTTCCTCCATTGCAATCCAGCTTCCCCTCCTGCTCACAAAGTGTTGTTATTATTCATCCCACAGAAAAGTAAAAATCATGGATTTATGATATCCATTTCCAGGAAATGCCTGTGATGTCATAAATTCAGCATTATGACTTCACTGTAGGGTCAAAGAGAAGGATAAACTGGACTGTAAGGGAGAGACCTTGTCTGAAACCCAACTAGATTTCACTCTGAACAGTTGGGCGTGGTGCATGGCCCTGACCCTAGGTTTAGATTTGCCCCACCCAAAGGAACAGTTATTTTCAGAGCAATGCAGCTAGCGTTGGTGAGTGTTGCTATACCTCAACTACCAGCTAAAATATCCTCTTAGGGCCAAACTCTGCACTGGCTTCCACCCTTTGTAGCCCCATTGTCACTGTAATCAGTGTAAATGATGTAAAACCAGAGCAGGATCTGACTCTTAGGACTTGTCTTCATTGTAGCATTAATTTGGGCTTGTCCTGTGTTTCTTCTAGTGCCGTTCCCTTCCACACACAAGACCCCCTCACCCAAGCGTGCTGCTGCTGCTGCTTTACAGCCAAGCTCTCTGGCCTGGCTGGAGTGTAAGCTAAAGCTCAAGACATGCTTACTTGGTCTGATAATGTGCCCACTTTGCACTGAGGACGCAGGCTAACCCAGTGTGCCTTTTGGAGCATGCTATATGATGCCCTTGTCAGCTGCTGCATAATGGTCCATCACTCCAGAGAACACGTCTGCAAATGACATCCACCAGCTGGTGTCACCGCCAATCTAAGCCTCCCTCCTACTCAGTAAATAGCATGTGTCACCTGAGCCAATATGTTCAGTCACCTCTCAGGCCTTATATCAGCATAGCCCTCCATCTTAAGTTGGCCAGTATTAGGTGCCCACCTGAACAGCACGACTTTCCTTAAGAAACCTACATAAAACTGATCCCCCCGACGCATTCTCCTTACCAGGTTTATTTCATTCTCTGAGTTCATAGCCAGGTAGCAGTTGGTCCTTAACCCTAGCTCTATGGGTGCTGATATGGCACCATTTCCATTTTTCTTCATGCCCCTGTGAGGCAGGGTGGTTATCCCCATTGAATTGATGGGAACTGAGTCAGACAGGGTCTGTCTACATTGCATTGTAAACCTGGGTCTGTGGGACCCCAGCTTCTGGACTCAGTGTTTCCAAGACTGCACTTGAGCATCCATATTATACTGTAAACCTGGCCTTACAGTTGCTGGGCCCAGGTCTCACGCCTTAGTGTGCAGGGTAGACAATACCCAAAAAGGCTAAGGGCCAGATTTCCAAAGGTGTTTAGGTGCCTAGTGGGATGTACAGACCCACCTACATGAGTTAGACACCTGATCAGGCATTTTTGAAAATCCAGCTTGGCACTTATCTGCACCAAAGTACCTGTGGAAATCTGGCACTAAGTTAGTTGCCCAAGGTCAAAGTCTGTGGTCAGGCAGAGAATTGAACCCGCATCCCCTAGGTCCCAGCTTAGCACCCCAGGCACTGAGTGATCCTTCCTCCTCACCAGGAACAACATTGCTCCCTTCTTTGCTGATATTGCTTCTCTCGTTCTGTTCTGGTTTCCTTCAGCTAAGGCCTGAGAGCTCATGTCCCATCTCAGTGCTGTTTGTGAACACTGACTGCTGTCTCTAGTGTGGGGATCTGGTCATTGACCTTGAGAGGGTTCAGTGAAACCTCCTGCACCTTCAATCACTGCATCAAGCTAAGCTGTTCAAATGTATTTTTATCCCTGTTCATCTGGTGCAGTAGAGTGACTCTGACATCCTTAAATCATCTTTTATTCAGTTTGTGGGCCTCCAAGGAAGCAAGGCATCAGTAATTCAATACCAGTGACCTTTAAAAGGGATTCTTGTGCATGTATATTGAAAATGTGCAATTAACAAATCATGTAGCAAACTATGGAGAGCTATAAAGATTATAATTTATTGTGCCTGCTGTTTTGGTGCACTTTTCTGAACGCCCACAGTATACCAGAGATTGTTATAAATAAATAGGGTGGAAAATGGATTATCCATTTTTCTCTGAAACTAATGGCATTGGTAATTTTGCTCTTGTACTTCTTTTGTTGCAGTCTTGTGGAAATATTTACAAAGGCCTTTCCCAGACGGGTGCCTGGGGCTGTTTTGATGAATTTAATAGAATCTCAGTGGAGGTCCTTTCAGTGGTGGCTGTACAGGTAAGTGAAGAGTACTCACAGTCATGCGCTTGGTGATCACTGCAGCCATCAAGCACCAAAGTCTTTGTGGTGGAGTTAAACCCAGATGTAATTTTTAGCTGAAGTTTGATTGCTGAAGTTAAGTGCACTTGTGTCCACCACTTCCCACAGCTGCCTGATTGTTGGACAGTCCCATAGCATATGCATCAGGGTTCCTTTTTTCTTTATACAGCACCAACAAACATCAGATGACCAGGCCACTTCTTGCACAACCCCTGTGTGTCCAGTACACTTTGGATAGACTCTTTTGCTATATCAGGTGTAGCCCGAGAGCCACAGAAGCATTGTTAACATACTGTAACATGCTCTGCCGTTGGGGTTCTTTCACGGGCTGTGATAACTCCTCTTCCCACAAAGTACTTGCACTCTGCTGAGGGTGGCAGGTCATATCCTTGCTTTAGGGTTAGAAAAGAGATACAGCCCTCATCCTTGACCAGTTGGGAGAGCCATATGATGCCTTTGCTCAGCCAGTTCTTCCAAATTACAGATTTTTTCCCCAGTTTGCACGTCTGGGTTACCCCAGATACATGCTTTTGCATGATGGTGCATATGAAATTGGTACCTCATAGCTAGAATAGCCCAGACCCTTCATGCACCCACCATTGTAGGCACCTTATTTTTCTCCATCAGACAAAAAAGTGGAACCGAGCAGACCAATGCTTGATCATTTTGAGGGAATTTCTTATGACAACTTTTCACAGATCTATATGCAAAATTACTCTACTAGGATTATGAGAATTTGTATTATTAACCCCTTGTGCAACAATTACAAAGCTTAATTTTAGTGCTGAGAACTGACTTTACTGTAACCTACATGCTTATCATGGCCAGTAAATCTGTCTCTTTCCATATGGAGACGAGATGGAAATAGGTTTTTATGTGGGGAAGAGGGATTCTGAGGCTGATTCAAAGCCAGTCAGAAGTCAGTGGGAGTCATTCCATTGGATCTCCCAGGGAGAGCTACAGCCTTTATGCATGTATATATTGAGGATACATTGATAGCACAGAACCATGGAAAGCAGAGATGGGAAAGAGCTATTAAATCTTCTTCCCTGCTTTGCCTCTTGCTTTTCTTCCTTCCAACATGTTTCTGGTCCTTTTCTCATGCTCCCTAGCCTGAAAGTTTGAATTTTCATTCCAGAAGTTGCATACTAAGACTTGCATTACATGCTTCAATGAATCGGGAAATGGTAACCAATAAGGAGGTTAGAGCTGTGCTAGTTTTGGGTGAAACAAGCATTTTTGGCCCCTCAGCAAAACTAGCCCAGGTCCACACAAATCTTTGCTAAACATTCTTTTCACATTCACCCTTGGTACCTCAGGCAGGAAAAGGGGTGTCACTCAAAGGTGTGCCCCAAACCAGTGAATTTCCTTGTTGGTTCCCCAAGGGACCCACTGAAACCTGGCAGATTCATCTGAGTTGTGCTTTGAGTGTCAAGAGCATATGACTCCAAACTCAGAACAAAACACAGGGGCTGTGAAACCTGCAAGCAGTGCCCGAAAAGTTTGGTGAGGCCAAACTGGCTGAGCTATAAGTGCCCATTTCTTTATGTCACTGGTACTCAGTCTCTTCATACTGGGGTCTGCTTTTCCACACCAAGTACAAGAACCCCCTGAGACCCTCCTCCAGTGTAGCTGGGGGTCTAGCCGTGATTTGGCTCTATGGGAAGGGCAATGCTGTCACAACCCCCTGACACTTGTTCCTGACCCCCAAGCTGAGAACTTGTGGGCTAAATGGACAAGGTCACTCTAACTGGCTGGGTTTCTCTTACATCACCTTTGACCTCTTACATCACATTACATTTTGTAAGCAAGTGTGAAAAATCGTGACACAAATTTTCAGGGGGTGGTGGTATAGTTGTGTCTTTAAAACAAAGGCCATAATATTGGGACAGTCTCGATAATATTAGCATGTCATAAGCATTAGATCACCTGACATCCCCAAAGAACCACTTGACTGCTTAGATGAGTTTATGGATCATTCTTTCTTAACTTGTGTTCTGTCACATTACAGTTTAAAGTCCACAGTCAAGGGGGTCCTTGAGGATGTACATGTAACCCTTCTGCCCATCTAAGTTGGCAGCAACAAGGGCCGGGTTCTGTATCTAGGGGTTCCGTTTCAATAACGCAATGGAAAACCGGCTCGAGCCCCCACCCAGTGACCTGGGACAATTACATACCACCCCCTGGGTACCTCTAAGAGGCAATACTTCCCCTCTCGCAAGCACGGAGTCTGAGTGTAGCAGAAAATGTTTAATAACATGAGGTAAACGACATCAGCATAAAATTGGAAAAACACCACAAACAGGATTCATAACACAAACCATGAGCAAAACCCACCCCAGCAAATTGGGCTGTGTCCTTTCCCTTTGGTTCTTGAATCCAGCAACCCAAAAATCACCCAGAGTCCCCAAAGTCTCTTGGGTCCAGCAACCACCCAAAGTCCCAAAAGTCCAACAACCCCCAAAGTCTCTGTCCCTGGTCAGTGCAGCCCCAGAGTAAAGGGGGGGGGGCACACAGGGTGTTAAGGGGCACCTTACGTGATCCGAGGCTGGCCAGCCGTCTGTTTCTCCGTGGGGGTTCCGCCGCAGCCTTCACCACGAGCCAGTCCACTTTCCTGCCATCCCACGAACTGCTCCGCTCTACAAGCTGCTCCGCTCCACTCCACTCACCGACCTGTGAGCCGTTCCAGCCGTCCCCGCAAACAGCTCCGCTCGCTGTTCCTTGGGCCACTCCAACCGGCCCTGCAAGGCTCCACGCCGTTCGCTGCTCCTCCAGTCGTCCCCACAAATTGCTCCGCCAGCTGCTGAGCAATATAGCTTCAGGCTCCCCCACTAGTTAACACAGCACTCAGTGATCTCAGCTCTTAATGACTTTAGCTCTTTTGTGATTTCAGCTCTTAGCAATTTCAGCTCATAGTATAGTAGGGGAGCCCCAGTGCTGGTGCACCATTGGCCCAAAGTGAATTCAGCTCAGCAGCTTGTAACTAGACTCCTAATGGAATCAAAATTAGCTCTGACATTCAACAGTGGAGAGAGGAGATGATGCAACTGGTGTTTCAAACCCTCAGCAGGGGACCATACCATCAGGTACAAATACCTGTCCCCATCCTCTCTCAATTCACTGGGTTTTGTAACCCATGTCCCTTGTCAAGCAATTGCTACTTAGGTAATGGTGAAGGACTCACTCAGTCCTTCTGTCATACAACAGTTCCACTGGCCTTGATTCACAGAATCAGGGTAACAAAACTTTATTCTTCCTGCCCCAATAACAGAGAAACTGGGGATCCCACACCAGCCAAAGTAACCACTTTCAGTTGCTGTTGTTTCATGCCAGGCGAGTGGGTGTGCCTATGCAAACAAGATTAGCCCCTGGAGTTCTTTTCCACACTCGCCATAATTCACCACCAGATGTCAGGGTAGAGCTCATCCTGACTCTGCTTACATACAAATAAAAAGGGAAGCTTGACCAAAGGAACCCAGAGATGACTCAGCGTCCTTTCTCCAGAAGTTAGAATGTTTCTTTCTCCAGGAGTTAGAAAGCTGCAGCTGAATAAGCGACACTAGTGCTGTTCTGTCACCATGTTTGCTAGCTGCCATTAGGAGCAGCCATAGCAATATGTCATGGGTTGTCTTATTGATACTGCTAATGTCAGTGTGGTTTCTTGCAGAAGAAAGGCAATTGGTTACAATTTAAGGCAGCTCAGTGGTGTTCTGATTCCACTAGTGAAAAAATGTGGAGATCCTTTCCCTCACTGAAAATAATGTTAAGTAAAACATTAGTTAGCGTTAGAAGATTCAAATCTGCTGTGAACTTGATAAATGAGAAGTATAGAGATGTGATCAATAAAACGAGAAAAAAAAAGAGAAACAAAAAGTTAATAGAAGGAACGGAGTAGGTGGCACATAGCTATATTTGTTATATAATATTTGATACAGTGTCTCACCAAATATTACATAAGTGATCTCACTCAAGTGCTCAGCAAGATAGATGCCAGTTTGCTTGGGAACAATAAAACTTCCCTACAGCATCTTGCAGGGGTGCAATGAGGGGACCCCAGGGGACCCAGGTTCTCCCACTTGGCCATAAACACTGCCCGGTAGGAGGGGAGGTCCCAGTTGGTCCTGGTCTCTCTGGTGGAAGAGGAGTGGAGGGGAGAAATCCCAGCTGGTCTCTCTCACCTGGCTTCCTGCTTCCCAGAACCAGTGAGCTGCCATTTCCTCATGCTTCCTCCTCCATCTCTTCCACGCCCATGCCACCTGGCAGGTAACCTGGCCCCCCTTCTTAGGAAAATTCTGGTTGCACCCCAGGCACCTGTGAGCAGTACTGGATAGGGGGCATCAGATAGCAGGTTGCAGGGGAGGGGTTGTAGTACTTCTGTCAGGCTGGTGACACTGCCTTGAGAATTGTGAATTACAGATGGTGCCAGGGACAACCCTCAGGCTTTTCCCAGTTGGTGAATCGGTCCTGCTTTGAGCAGGGGGTTGGACTAGATGACCTCCTGAGGTCCCTTCCAATCCTGATATTCTATGATTCTCTGATTCTCTGCCGCTGTGTCTGGCCCAGTGTTAGAAAATGAGGGTGGATGGGTACTTCATCCTGGTGTGAAGTGTGATGATAACTGAATTATCATCTCTTCAGACCATCCATGGGTTCAGGGCTGCGGTCAGGTACCAGCACTCTGGGTGGGCTAAGCTGAGCTGGTGAGCTGCTGTAATCTCTGCAGTGGTTCTGACAAGGGGTTCTGTGGTTGCGGTTGTTGGAGAGTCCTCCTTCCTGTATAGTGATGGCTCAAGTTTTTATGAACCACTTGTAAGTTATTCTGTGTATCAGTTCTCTGCTGTAATGGTTGGAGGTTGATAAACAGTGTCACAGGCAAAGTTTAAGTCAAGAGTGTGTCCAGCTGTGTGACTGGGACAAATGGCTACTTTGGGAGAGTTCCATAGCTGTCCTGAAAGATGATGGTTCCTAGATTAGTGGGTAAGAAGTGCCATCAGATTATCTCCATTAGCTCTGAGAAGAAACTTGTGGAGCTTTTGGGTTGTCTGCAGATTACTTAGATTCCTGCTGTGTGTCAATTGAATTCATCCATCAGATGATTTGTGTCTCTCCTGTAGTTTTAGCAGCCTTCAAATGGTCCTGCCTACCAGGAGAGCAAGGCTGGAGGTGAAAATACAGACGCTATCCTAAAATAGTGGGATCTTAGACAGAACTGTATCATCCTAAAAGTATAACTGGGTTCAAAAAAGAATTACCGGTAGATACTTTCCTGGAGGATAGGTCTATCAATGGCTCTTAGCCAAGATGGTCAGGGACGCAACCCCATGTTCTGGGTGTCCCAGAACCTCCACCTGCCAGAAGCTTGGACTGGGCGACAGGGGATGGATCACTTGATAAATTGTTCTGTTCATTCCTTTGGAAGCATCTGGCACTGGCCACTGTTGGAAGGCAGGGTACTGGGCTAGATGGACCATTGGTCTAATCCAGTAGGGCCGTTCTTATCCTTATCTTTACCTGGTAGCAGTCTTCCTGCTATGGAGCATAAAGGTGGAGAGAGAAGGAGGTCTCTGTAGGCAAGGCCCTGGATACTGTACAGCACATTGGACCCAAATTCTGTAATGTGCATTTGTTACGAGAGATCACCTCTCTGTGACATACCACCACAATGGAGATCAGCAGCGGTGCCCAAGCTCCCTGAGTATAAATGAGAAAGAGTGGCTGTCAGGGTATTCTCTGGAAGGAGCCATGGGTTTGGAACTCTCTCCCATGCCTTGGTGTGCCAGAGCCTGGAGTGGTGAGCCTTTCGGGCATGCTGCAAAGCCCAGATTCCACCCCGTCTGGAGTCAGGCTGTGGAGGTTTAGTGTGGGCTGAGAGAGAGACTTAAAGGCAGTGTTTTTGTTTGTGTGGTGATTTCTCATTTATGGGATAGGCGACCAGAGCACTAGATGGGCTCCTGAAATTGTATTCTAAAAATTGGAAGCAGTAAAGAAATAAATAACATTACAGTATCAGACAGTAGCACCAGTTTTTACATGAAATGGTTGTACCTTTATGAAACTCCCAGGGAGAATATGTAACACTGCTTCTGTGTTTCATTTCTTTGCATTGGAGCACAAGAAAATGAAGGGAAGGGTATGTTAAATGTCAGTGCAACTTGTCCTATTGGAAAGTATTTTTGGACTACATCTGCCTAGGGCAGGGGTTCTCAAACTTTACCATAGCACAGAGCATGTTTTTAATACATTGATTGTCTCACAGCCACCTCCCCTGATATTTGGGATTGCACCAGGCCTCTGTGAACCACAGTTTGGGAGCCTTTGGTCTAGTCAGGGCCGGCTCCAGGGTTTTTGCCATCCCAAGCGGTGAAAAAACAACAACAAAAAACCCTGTGATCGCATTTGGTGGCACTTCGGCGGCAGCTCCACCGCGCCGCTTTCTTCTTCGGCAGCAATTCGGCAGCAGGTCCGAGGGACCCGCCGCCGAAGAGCCCAATGTGCCGCCCCTTCCCCTCAGCTGCCCCAAGCACCTGCTTGCTGAGCTGGTGCCTGGAGCCGGCCCTGAACCATAGAATAGGTACATTTGTACATTATACATTGATGTATTAATCACTGCTGGAATCCTGTGTCCAGTTCTGGTGCCCACAGTTCAAGAAGGATGTTAATAAATTGCAGAGGATTCAGAGAAGAGCCACAAGAATGATTAAAGGATTGGAAAACCTGCCTTATAGTGACAGAGTCAAAGAGCTCAGTCTATCTAGCTTAACAAAGAGAAGGTTAAGGGGTGACTTGATCACAGCCTGTAAGTACCTACATGGGGAACAAATATCTAGTAATAAGTTCTTCAGTATAGAACAAGCCAATGTCTGAAAGTTGAAGCTAGACAAATTCAGATGGGAAAGAAGACATACAGTACATTTTTAACGGTGAGAGTAATTAACCATTGGATCAATTTACCAAGGGCCGTGGTGGATGCTCCGTCACTGACAATTTTACTTTGGGGCAGTTCTCTGGCCTGTGGTTACGCAGGAGGTCAGACTAGATGATCACAGTAGTCCCTTCAGGCTTCGGAGTCTATGAAGCTATGATAACTGGGACTTTTTGTCCATATTTGAGTTTGCATTCCAATGTCACATAGGTTTCCCCCCCCCACCCCCCAAACTGTGTACAAAGTTGCTAGTAAAAGAACAACTATAAACCACAGACTTCTCAGGGGGACCCAGCAGAAATAAGTCAGCACAGATACTATACTGTGGTCTGTTTTTTATAGCTGAATGCTCAAACTAAAACAGTGACTCCGGTTCTCAGGTGAAAAGTATACAGGATGCCATAAGGGACAAAAAGCAACGTTTCAATTTCCTTGGAGAAGACATTAATTTGATTCCTTCTGTTGGCATTTTCATTACAATGAACCCTGGCTATGCTGGACGAACTGAACTACCCGAGAACTTGAAAGCTCTTTTCAGGTAAGGTGCAGATCAGCTTTTGTGCCCTGTTTAATAAACTAGTTCCTTTACTTTTGTCAGTGTCGTCAGGGGACTCAGAACACAGCTGCCTTTCCATTCACTTTTATTAATAGATAGCTCAGATCTTGGACAAAAAGTCTTGGTTTATGAACATTCAGGGAAGAGAAACAGGCACAAGTCTCTGAGCTGTTAAAAGCAGCTTTTGGCATCTGGTTGGCTCAGGGGCATGGTGATGGAATCCTTTCATCACAAGTTCAAATCTGGCCCAGGCTGGCGGTGGCCAAAGGTTGTTGCCACCTCATGGTTATTCAGTGGCCTCTGCGAAATGGATTGGCATTCCCAGTCCAATTCCCAGTGTGACACATTACAAACCCCACCGTCAGTTTGTATTCATTGGTCATAGAGCTGAGCAAATAATTGATCATTTGGTGGATGACCTGAAAAGATGGGGAAAAAAATCAGTTTTTCTAAGCAAGTAAATGTTTTTTTTCTGAAAGAAAAAACTGAAAACATTTTCTTAGGTCAAACAAAATGTTTCTATTGTTTATTCAAAGTGACATTTTCTAAACAAAATACCGATTGAAAACAAAATGTAGAAATGGTTCATGGTGTAAATGTCAAATTGAACTGTTTGACATTTCCAATTTTATTTTTTTTTGTTTTTCAGCCAAAACTGTTCCCCAAATTCAGCCCCCCATTCATGCCCCCCAAATGCTTTTTTGTGTGAACTTACTGTTTGTCCAGAACATCTTGCCCAACTCTAATTAGCCCAATGTCTGTCTCAGCAGAGGGGCCTAGTATGGCACAGGCCCTGCTGACAGAGCTGCCCCTCAACCCTTGTGATGACCCCTTCCACCCTGGAGGGCAGGAAGTCCTGGGAGGCTTGCCTCAGCATGGCCCATGCCGTGTCTCTTCTAGACGCAGAGGAGACTTAGGGCCAGTTTTTTAAGAATATTTAAGCACTTTTAAAGATGCAGGTAGGTCCTTATCTGCAACTTCAGGTCCCCGAATACCTTTGAAATCTATCCCTTAGGGTATGTCTGCACTGCAATTAAACACCCGCGTTTGGCCCATATTAGCTGACTTGGGCTTGCGCGGATCAGACTAAGGGGCTGTTTGACCTCAGTGTATCCGTTTGGCGTTGGGTTAGAGCCCAAACATCTACACAATTTTATGAGCCCGAGTTAGCTGACTCGGGCCAACTACAGGTGTAGAAGACATACTTGTGTGTCCGGCGCTCGGTAAGCACCTTTCATTGCAGGTATTGGCAAAACACCCTCACTATCTGACAGTCACATCTGCTGTCAGCATCACCCTGCTCCTAGGCCATCCCCTTTGTAGAACACTATTGCCTGCTTTGTAGGCCCTTACGTTTCCTTGCAAACATGCCAAGGTGTTTGACAGAGCTGCCTCCAGAGTATTGTAGGATGGGAGGGGGAATACCAGGAGCTACAGCCCGGGGCTCAAAGAGGGCTGGGATTCTGAATGAGGGTGACTGTATCAATTAGTGATTTCCAGCCATGTCCTGCAATGAGCAGTGGGTGCCAGAGAGACCCACGTGCCAGCAGCATGAGCCCCTCTGTCTTTGACTTTCTCTGTGCCTCAGGCTCTCTCTCCCCCACCCTCCCGTCCTGTCAGCATGTGAAGAGACCTGAGCCAGCTTGTCCTCCTTTGTCCCCAAGCTTGGGCACTGGCATTGTGTTGGGAGCGACCCATCCCAGCCTTTGCATTAGTGAAAGGAAAAGCCTTAGTCTGGGTGGCGATTAGACTTCTGAGGTGGAGTCAGTGTTTCTCTCCCTTCCCCCCACATCACACATGTTGCCTGTGTTGACATCAGTTAGTGCCTGAGATAGGGTGAGTGCACAGAGCTGCTGCTTGTCTCGAAGATTCATTCTGTAGCCGCGATAGGCAATTGTGTTTTGTAACTGGTGTAGGAGACATTATTGGGGAATCCTCATCATGGGAGGTTTTTAAGAGCAGGTTGGACAAACCTCTGTTGGGGATGGTCTAGGCATACTTAATCCTGGGGCGTGGGCTAGATGACCTTTCAGTCCCAACCTACATCTCTCTGATTCTACAATTGTAGCTTTGTGGGCTTTTTGTTTTACATGCCTCCTCAGAATCGAAACCAACCCCGGCCTCAGCTATCCCTCTCAGTCACAGTGCTGAAACTTTTGCCAGCAAAGTTGTGTCTGTTCCTTGGTTGAAGCGGAAATGTAGCTCTGTAATCATTTTCCCCATCCTTGCTTTTAGGCCATGTGCAATGGTTGTGCCAGACTTTGAGCTGATCTGTGAAATCATGTTGGTGGCTGAGGGGTTCATTGAGGCCCGGTTGTTAGCCAGGAAATTCATTACCCTTTACCAATTATGCAAAGAGCTCCTGTCCAAACAGGTAAGTCTGTTTCATGAGCTATAAAGCGCAATTAAATATGTCAATCTCCTAATGACCAGTAACACTACCCTAAGCTCTGTGACCAACTTGACAGACGTGTAAGTGCAGATCCACAAAATTCCCTGCATGCGGGCACTGCTGATTAAGGGAAAATGTGCATAGGGATACTGGAATTGGCACGTTGTGTAAACTGGGGGAAAATATGGGTCTGTCTGCTACTCTGTGTTTGTACAGTGCTAGCACAATGGGCCCTGTTCTTGGTTGCCCCACAGCCAGCAGCTTCTCCTACCATAATAAACATGTTGAATCATAATGATAATGGGTGTCTCAGGTTTAGTAATGGAAGAAGGAGCCTCTCATCTTTTGACAGGTTCAAATCCAGTGCAGGTTTGTAGCGACAGGACTTCATGGCCATATGATGGCCTCCTTGGAATGTATATGAAATTAATTGGTCAGTCTCAGGAGAGGGGGACGGAGGGATGGAAGACTGGATGTCAGCTGGAGTGAGGATGGAGAGACTTTGGGAGGAGGATAAAGAGGGTGGGCCAGAAGCCAATCAGCAGAGAGGGATGAGTGTTCCGAGTTAAAACTCTAGCCAGCAGCCTGATGACATCATCAGTGTCGCAAGATGCCTGCTGCTGTTACTGCTTCTGTGTTGGCTCTTGCTGGCTGAGTCTCTGCCCGTGGGTTGGCTCCACCCTAGTGTTTCTTCCTTCTCTGGGCCCACATGACTGGGGGAAGGATAAAGTTGCATGGGGCCTAGTGCCCCTGGAGCTGGGGTCCAGGGGAGCACTGGAGGGGTAGGATCTGATCTCCTCAGCTCCTCCCAGTGCTGCTGTACCTACTGAATCCTATATTAGCTGAATCCCACCTAAGGAAGATGGGGTTGGAAGTCCTAGCAGCCAGACTGGTACTGCATTCTTTAGCAAGGACTGTGCAGATGGAAGAAGATTCAGATGAATTTCTGCGGTTGGGTCGCACGGCCATTTGGAACTGTCTGCTTCCTTGTTTTGTATTCTGGCAAGCCAGCTAAGTGTAAGTGACTCCTTTCACTCTGCTCTGTTTAGGATCACTACGACTGGGGCCTGCGTGCAATTAAGTCAGTGCTGGTTGTTGCTGGCTCCCTTAAGAGAGGGGACCCCGACCGTCCTGAAGACCAGGTTCTTATGCGCTCTCTTCGTGACTTCAACATCCCTAAGATTGTGACAGACGACATGCCAGTGTTTATGGGACTGATCGGGGATCTTTTTCCTGCTTTGGATGTCCCCAGAAAGCGAGACCTGAGTTTTGAATCGTTTGTGAAACAGGCTGTGTTAGACCTCAAACTGCAGGCTGAAGACAACTTTGTGCTCAAAGTAAGAGTGAGAGATTCTTTCATCCCAACTTCAAACCTTTACGTAACCTTCAGTATTCTCTTAACTTACAAGTAAGGCTGTGAGTCTGTCATGGAAGTCAGGGAAGTCACGGATTCTGTGACTTTCCGGGACTTCTGCAGCGGCCGGTGCAGCTTACCCGAGGGCCGTTATTTTTAGTAAAAGTCACGGACAGGTGGGCAATAAACAAGAATTCACAGGAGCCTGCGACCTGCCTGTGACTTACTAATAATGACTGGGTGTGGGGGAAGGAAGGACTGCTGGAGCCCCAGGGGTGCGGGGGACTGACAGCCTGAGCCTTGCTGCGGGAGGTGGGTGGGGGGGGGGGGGGCTGACAATCCAAGCCCCACCACCACTGGGTGGGGGCACAGCTCGGGCTCCAGCCCTGGCTGAAGCTGGAAGGCAGGGCACACAGCCCCTGCTCTGGCCCCAACTGCAGCTCCTGACAGCTGAAGCCAAAGAAGTCACGGCGGTCTGGTAAAGATGTGGAATCTGTGATTTTTGTGACCTCCATGACTAAATTGTATCCTTAACAATAATGCAATGATTCTGTTCCACTTTGCAATAAGACACTGTTATGAGAGCAACTGCCTTAATAGTCCCTTGTGGCTGCTCAATAAAGCAGGACTTTCGGTTGTTAATTTGGTCTGAAATTTGGTGGGCTTTCTAGTTGACTTCTCTTGCAGGTGGTGCAGCTGGAGGAGTTGCTGGCTGTGCGGCACTCTGTCTTTGTGGTGGGTAATGCTGGCACCGGCAAATCTCAGGTACTGAAATCTCTGAATAAGACTTACCAGATAATGAAACGACGTCCTGTCTGGACAGACCTCAACCCCAAAGCAGTCACCAATGACGAACTTTTTGGCATCATCAACCCAGCCACAAGAGAATGGAAAGACGGTAGGTGTGTTTTCACATAAACCACTGACCAGGAAGGGTATTTCTGTAATCTTTCTAAACAACAACAGTAATAATTGCTCTTATGTGGTGGTTTTCCGTAGATCTCAAAGCACAAACACACATCTAACATCTACAGTGTATTAATGCTTTATTGCTGATAGGGCACATGAGATTCTTTAGCCAGTCTGACTTTCAGATGAGGATTGCTCTGGAATAAATCTTGTTTTAACCTAGCTACCCTAAGAATCAGCTGTCCTGCCCATACACAAGAGACTCAAAGTTCCTAACCTGGACAGGCTGCTGCTAATGATTGGCTGAACTAGAAAGCGCTGAGTACTTTCAAACCAGGAATGATGTAACTATGGTGAGAATGAGCTGGGCACCATGTTCCACTCCATCTCACCCTCTCCGTGCACACATTTCACCATGTTCTCACCATTAATAGCACAGCCACAACAGCACTGATGGAAAGGTTTCCCCGGCCTCAGAAATTACTTCTGCTTGCCACATGCTCTCTTTCTGGCTAACGGTAAGAGAGACACATCTTCCCAGGGTCTGGGGAAAACAGGCACAAGTTAAAAATTTTCTAAAAGGCTGCGTGAAGCTTAAATTAAGACAATTATTTTTTGTTATGTACATTGGTGCTAGTTTTTAATGGTGATTGCAGTTTGGGAGGTGCAGAGTGTAAGGCCCTGGGGATTAGAACCCATGTCTGTAAAGCCTGTGATGGCTAAGAGTCCCTCAGTGTCACTGGGAGGCCATGCAGCGGCACAGCCAGGGAGTACTGTGGAAGTAAGTGCTGCAGGAAGTACAGGTCTGTCTCATCTTACGCTGGGGTTACTTTCCGCAGTCAGCGCCTAAAGCGAAAATCGCGTATAGTCAAAATTACATTGAGTGTAATGGCGGGCGGAATCACCCGCACTACAGAAACAGTATTTAAATTGTTATTTTTCTCTTTTTTTTGTTTTTGCCGACCGCGTAAAGCTGAAATCGCACATGTTAAATGCGCCTAAGATGCGACAGACCTGTACTGCCCAAGCGACCTAGAGTGATGGTACCTTGCGGTTCACTGATTGGCCAAGTACCCTATTTAACCCCAGGGGTTGGCCTAGGAAGTTGTCTGGGCAACCACACAGACTTTGGCCTGCTGCAGCGCCAGACTTTGCTTGATCTCCGGCCTCCAACTCTGACTCCTACCTCTCAGTACTAATGTAGTACTGCCTCTGATCTCTGGTTTCCAACCCTGGCCTAACTCTGACCCTGACTTCTGCTTACAGAACCGGGCCCTTACGATCCCTCCAACCCCTGCCCGTGACTACCGGCCCTGGTGGGCAGACCTCAGCCCAGTTGTGACCACTAGGCCAGACTTCCTATGCCCTGATCCCTTAAACAGAGGAAGGCGAAGGAAGAGGCTGCCAATAAATCATACCCAGCTATCCTCCTTCCAAGAGATAAACTGCCCATTCATCCCTAGAACATATTCTGCCTTTGACCCCCTACAGTGCCAATTTCATCTGATCGTAACTACAGACCTTAAATCACAAGTGACAGAAACAAAGTGCGGGTCACAGAGGAGGCTGTGGAGTCTGACCTGAGTGAAAGCCAGGGCTAGCTTTGGTCAAACAGTGCCTGGAGTGAGCCCAAGCCAGACAGAGCTGCAAATCACATTCCAGTTCAAGGGGCCTCTGCTTTTAGGGACATTGTAAAGGGGCTGGCTGATGTTTCTTGAGCCAGTGCTTTTGTGGGAGCTCGTCCTCATTCTACCCAGGCTTAGGGACTCCCGGCTGCAATGTTTTTTTCATCAGCTGCCCCTGACAACTGTGTTTCTTGTAGCCATAACATCAGTGAGGAGAGTCAGAGAGCTCCGGCGGCTCACTCTCCTTACACAGCCTAACAAAAGCCTGCATTCTCATGCTAAATTGACCCCCACTCAGTCACTGATTTTCTTCTGAATCAGACTGTTTGCCTGTTTTCTTCCCTAAATTACATTCATTGCTAGGGGAGGGCAGGTTTCACACATTGCCTACTAAAAGGTCCCTTAATAGGACTTTAAAAGGACTCTTAGTACAACCAAACTTGTCTGTTGATTTCCCTCTCTCCCCAGTTTATGGCATATAGAGACAAGGTTAGTGGAGGGGTGGTTTCTTCTCAACCGCTGTCATAATGGATTGAGATCTGCATTGAGAGATGCTATGTGTCTCCATCCCCAATGGTATCAGAACAAATACAACACAGTCTGAGGCAGTTTCTGGAGCATGCGTCCATAATGTCCCTGTGGTGGAATCTGTGCGTAGCGGGAGTTCAGCTTGTACTTTATGAAGCGTTATTCTCTTGACCTGAGCTGAAAATCTGATGCCTTCTTCCAGGGAGCCACCCAGCAGCCATTGTGTAAGTTGTCTTACCTCAAACCCACCTCTGTGTTGGAGCAGAGTGCCAGAGCAGATGGACATTCTCAACTCCCATCTCCATGCTTTTGGAGTCCATGTTGGATTGGGAGGAAGTGGAATAAACTGAGTGTGCATGGCAGCCACACCTCCTTTAGACATTATGGCTCTCCTCTGTAACTCTCCATGGCTTGGGACGTAATCAAGGGTCAAAGCTTTCCAGTGGTTTCTGGCTTTGGTGCAATGTGTAGGTGTGTTCCAAGAGCAGAGGGCTCTGTACTGACAATCTTCTCCAAGAACTCCAGTTCCAGCTGAGACCCTTTTCTTCCTCCTTTTTGGTTTTTGCCTGCCTCCAGTTCCTCTACTCTGGATTGTGCAAGAAAATACTCACCCTGGGCAAAAGCCACAGTTTTGAGGATTTGCCAAAAGAGAGACATTTTTTCTGCTTGCTTGATACTTTTCATGCAGCCCGAAGTCTCTCTTGGTATTTTAATGTGAAAGTATTTGTGCACTGACAAATGATAGTTTTGAGGCATTTTGTTCTGTTCTACAGCATTGCTGCTATATTCCCAGCATTCTTGTTCTTCTTTCATTAATTATTTGCTTCCCCTGAGACATTTTATTTCCTCAGTCTCCTTGATTTCACTAGCATGTGGTTCTGTCGTTTACTCATTCTGTTCTTGTTCTCATCTCCCGTCTCTCTAATTCAAAGCCATGACCCAATGCTTAATGCACCTTGAGTTCCCTGGCAGTACTTCCAGCTGAGGAAGCAGTTATAAGAAATTCCAAGTTATATTCAAACAGTTTTCCAAACCTTTATATTGTTTAATATACTTCCTCCGTTCCCTGTTAGTGTAGAGTATCCACTAGTCACTGTTTTCTTCCCCTCAACACTCCCCAATAGTAATGAGTTGCACGTCGGCCTGCCATCTTTTTCATTGATATTAACTGATAACATTCGTTTCCCCGCAAAGCAGATTAGCCTGATATCCTTTTACATGGTTTTTTATTACTTGAATCATAAAATGCACTGAGATTTTATTTTGGCATTTAAGAAGGATGTTGCAGAAAACTGGTTGGGCAAGTTGCAGATTCCGTGATCATAAAGGAGTGTGTGTCATCTTTCTAGGACTGTTTTCATCAATCATGCGAGATCTGGCCAATGTCACACATGATGGTCCCAAGTGGATGGTGCTGGATGGTGATATTGATCCAATGTGGATTGAGTCTCTTAATACTGTCATGGATGATAATAAGGTAATAGATATTCTTTGATCAACCCATAGGAGAAATACATAGGTTGAGAGAATAGCTCATAGTATGAAAGAGTTGTTACTGTGTTTCTTCAAATAAAAACAAACATCATCATGCAAAGAAAATGTTACATCTGGAAAACAGCACAAAGCATTAATTTTCAGGAACATGTTATTGAATTGGAGTGGTGCGGGTAACGTTGTTCTGCTGCAGTCAGTACATTGAAATCTCATAGACTCATAGACTTTAAGGCCAGAAGGGCTTTAGACCCTTTTACTATTGGTTTTAATTTCCTTTTCAAAGTCCAGCTCTGCTTGGCTTTTGGCAGTTCTCACTTTGTACCTATACTTTCTAACCTCCAAGAGGTAGCTTTCCTTGCTGATCCATCCTACCTTCCATTCTTTGTAGGCTTTCTGCTTTCTCTTAATCACCTGCTTGAGATCCTTCATCCAGCTTGGTCTGCAACCCTTCCCTATGCATTTTCCCCCTTTGCTCAGGATGCAGGCTTCAGATAGTTTCTGCAACTTTTACTTAAAATAATTCTAAGCCTGCTCCACATTCAGATCCTTGAGTTCTTCAGTCCACTTCCCTAACTACTTCCCTTAATTTTATAAAGTTTGCACTTTTGAAATCAAGGACTTTAGTTGCAGATCTATTTTTGTTTATCCTCCCATTTCATTTAAACTGAATTAGCTCATGATCACTCGAACCAAGGTTGTCCTCTACAACCAGCTCTTCTATGAGGTCCTCACTACTTACCAATACTAAATTTAAAATGGCATTGCTTCTTGTTGGTTTGGTGACTATTTGGTAAAGAAATCTTTCAACTATCACATCCAGGAATATCTGGTCCTGACCAGATCTGTAGCACTTGTCCTTCAATCTGTATCTGGGAAATTGAAGTCTCCCATAATCACACAATTTCCAGTAGTATTTATTTAATTAAAATATTAAAGAGGTCTCTATCCATATTCAAATTAGATTCAGGGGATTTGTAGCGTACCTCAAGCACTATTCCAGTGGAGCCTCTGTTACCTTTCTTCCCCAAAGTGATTTTGACCTAAACAGATTCCATTTCACCCACTACATCACTTCTAATTTCTTTACATCTATCTCACCATTACTATACAATGCTACTCCACCACCTTTACCTTTATTTCTCTCTTTCCTGAACAGCACATACTCTTCAATCCCTGTACTCCAGGCATGACTACTATTCCACCATGTTTCTGTTATTGTGACACCCTGGCACCCCAATATTCACCACTGTCATGTAATTAGGATATGTTTTGTACAAAGAATGCCTTGTGAAGAATCATTCTAAAAGTCTTGATCTGCTAGACATTAATATCTCCGTGGATTGTATGTGCTATCGTTGTATGTGAAGTTATGAAGTTTGGCTATGTATGTGTTACTGAAACATGTTGTGAGGTTGAAAACACCCACAAGCAGCCTTTCAGGTACAACAGTAAAAAGGCCAAACAATGTTAATGGCTTATTGAGGAAATGCACACAAGAATTATCCCAGGAACTGTGTACAATAGAAACCTCTCAGAGAGAGCACTACACAATGGGAACTGTTTGACCCAGGTCACAGCATAAGAGCTTTCTAGCAAATGGGAAGAAGATATAAAAGGGGGAAAATGACATCATGGGGGGATCCCGCTGTGATGGGTTTCCCACGGGCTGCCACCTGGAACGTGGGTACCACTGAGCCCTCTGACCCACCAGCCTGGGATCCCACTCACTGTGCTGCTGTGACAAGTTGCAAAACCCTCCAAGCTTGCATTTTCACCAGCATTCACACAGGTAGGGACACACCCAGCTGCAGTCACATGCAGGCTCTCTAGCTACCAGCCTCCCAGCCTAGGACCCCCGAGCAGTACTGTCCTGCCCTGGTCAAATCTGGCCAGTATATGGGTTTAACTCCCGGTCTGCTTCTCCCTCAGTGTGAAGAGGACCATGCACACTTGTGGTAATCAAGCTGAGATTTTCCTCAGACACCAGTGTTCCCTCTAATTTTTTACATCCATATGAGGAATTAATTTTGTTATGTGCACCAATATGGAGGTGATGTGTGGCGAGGGTGAGGTTGAGAGGTTTGGAGTGTGGGAGGGGGCTCAGGGCTGGGGCTGAGGTTGAAGTTCCGGGGGACGAGAGCTCCGGCTGGGGTGAAGGCTCTGGGGTGGAACTGGGGATGAGGGGTTCAGGGTGCAGGAGGGGGCTCAGGGCTGGGGCAGAGGGTTGGGGTGCAGGCTCTGGGGTGGGACTGGTGATGAGGGGCTTAGGGTGCAGGCTGCCCCAGGGCTGCGGCAGGGAGAGAGGACTCCCCCCAGCCCTCTCTCAGTGCAGCAGCTCGGGGCTGGGTGAGAGGTGCCTCTCCCCAGCCGTGGCAGCTCTGGCAGGGCTGGACTGGGCTGGGTTGGGCCGGGGGAGGGGTGCGGTCCTGGGCTGCAGCTGTTCCACTGGGGCTGGGCTGGGCCAGGTCAGGGGAGGGGCTCCTCTCCTTGGCAACTCCGGCAGGGCTGGAATGGGCCTGGGCCAGGTCAGGTCAGGCCAGGCCAGGGGAGGGGCTCCTCTTCCCGGCGGCTGGGCTGGGCTGGTGGTGGGGCTCCTCTCCCCAGCAGCTCCAGTGGGGCTGGGCTGGGCCAGGGAGGGATGCCTCTCCCCGCCTGCATGGCCCTTGATAGCCTGCTCCACAGCCATGCAGCTTACAGGGAATTTATCCAGATACCTTAGTCAAACACACACTGGTTTGGATTAAAGCATAAAATAAGTTTATTAACTACAAAAGGATAGATTTTAAGTGATTATAAGTGATAGCAAACAGATCAAACCAGATTACTTAGTAAATAAACAAAACTGCAAATTGAGTTTAACATACTCCTCACCCTGAGTGATAAACAGGCTGGCAGATTTTTAAGGCCTTGTTTTTGCAGCTTGGGTTTCCCAGGTTTTTATACACAGGCTAGAAATCCCTTTAGCCTGGGACCATCTTCCCCCCTGTTCAGTCTTTATTCCTCAGGTGTTTCCAGGTGTGTTGTTGTAGGGAGAGTGTGAGGTCCCCCCAGGTTGTCATTTTCCTGCTCTTGGAGAGTAGAAGGCTTGAAGGATGTAACGACAAAACAACATATCCTAGAATGTATGTGAGGAAGTTTGTGTATCTTGGGGAGTCGTGGAGACTTCCTGAAATCCTCTTCACTAAACTGGAGGTGGGATATCCATGATATCTGAGGACAGACTAGAAGGGTTTGCACAGTAAGCGAGCAAAATGGAAGGACATGGCTTCCTTTGCATACGCATCACATTGAGGAGCTGGATGAAATCCTAACCAAGCAGTGCCGAGGTCATGTCAGCAAGACCATGCCTGAGTAATACGGCGATAACACGGGAATGAACAATTCTCACCAGCAGGATTGAGGAATGCCGCTGCCATGAGGCTTATATTCTGAATGTGTCTGTCTTTTGCAGGTGCTGACACTAGCAAGCAATGAAAGAATTCCCCTTAACCCAACCATGAGGCTGCTCTTTGAGATCAGTCACCTACGCACAGCAACTCCAGCCACTGTATCCAGAGCAGGTAGGTCTTTCCACTCGCACGAAGTGAAGCTTAGGGTTGAGATTTTCAGAGGGCTCAGGGGAGTTTGGCACCTGACTCCCACTGGCATTCAGTGCCCAACTTCCTTAGGCCTTTTGAAAGTGGCAGCCTTAATTCACAGTGCCACTGGATGACAGGGCATGTGACCGAGAAGTGGGCAGCAGAAACTAGAAACCCAGCACTCACTGGTGAACGGCTGACGACGAAGGTGGTGATGAGGGTAGCGCATAGAGGGCTCAGTTGAGATCGGGGCACTGTGCAAACAGAGTGAGAGACGGTCCCTGTTCAGGAGAGCTTACAGCTGAAATAGCCAAGGCAGAGACAGTGTGGGAGAATGGAAGGATTGTTCTCCCCTGTCTATGGATGGGAGCTGAAGCCCAAGAGAAAAGGGCCTGATTTCAATAGGTGTTAGGCACCTAAACACCTTTAAAAATCTGGACTAAATTACAATTGTGTAAGAGCAACAGGCTGTGCAGCGTGGTACACTGCTGTACTTATTAAACTATGATCTTAGTGAGGGAAGGTGAACAGTTCTTATGGCGAAAGGTACCAGTCTCCGCCGTGTCCTTGCTGTATCTGTCTCTCTTGCACTGTGTCTCTAGGCATTCTGTACATCAACCCAGCAGACTTGGGCTGGAATCCCCCCGTGAGCAGCTGGATCGACCGAAGAGAAATCCAGTCAGAACGAGCTAATCTGACCATCTTGTTTGATAAATACCTGCCGCTTTGCCTGGACACTCTTAGAACTAGGTACAGTATAACGGGACGTAACGTGTATGTGAGCGACATCCACCATATTAAAAGCAACAGAGAGTCCTGTGGCACCTTTAAGACTAACAGATGTATTGGAGCATAAGCTTTTGTGGGTGAATGTCCACTTCGTCGGATGCATGACATGCATCCGATGAA